ATGAGTGTATGCACTACAAGACGGTTTAAATAAATCATGGACTTAAATCAGTGCAACAGGACGCTAAAATATAACATCTACATTATCACTCAGTAGATTCACATCATCAGCATAGATCAACAGCTGATGTGTCCCATTTGATTTCAGTCCTACATGTTTTTCCTGGACGTTCCTAATGGCATATCCTAAAGCAAAGTTGAAAAGGAGTGGCGATAAAGCATCTCCTTATTTTAGACCATTCTGGTTAAGGAAATTATCAGACAACTGTTTACTTATACAGACTTTACGTTTTGTTTAAACACATTTTAATCAGCCTAAGTAGATCCATGGGTACCCCACACTCTATCATAATACAGTCCAATACTTCCTACCTAATTAAATCATAGGCTTTCTAGAAGTCTACAAATAGCTAATGTACTGCCTCATTGTACTCCCATTTTTTTCTCCAGTATTTGACGAATGCAAAAGATCTGATCAGTAGTTGATCTGTTATGTCAAAACCCACACTGATTATCCCCAATAATTTCACCTGTGGTAGCGTAGTAGATTGAGGCACTATGCTACAAGCAGGAAGGTCATGGGATCATATCCTGATGAGGCGGATTTTTCAATTTACCTAATCCTTCCAGCCGCATTATGGCACTGGGATCGATGCAGCCTCTAACAGAAATGAGTACCAGGAATATTCCTGGGGGTAAAGGGCGACCAGTGTGTGAGGCTGACAACCTCACCGCCATCTGTGAGCTCATTGTCTAGAAAACTGATTTTAGAATTACTATTTAAAATTTAAAATTTTAAAAGTTATAAAATTTTAAATTTTAAAGTATAATTCTACAATTAAATTGATGAGCATATGTTGGTGAGATTTTAAACAGAACTGACAGGCTGGTGTTTTAGATTTTAGATTGTGTGCAGTGTGACAGCTACATAATGAAAAATATACCTGATGATGTCTGGTTGTGGCCGAAACATGTAGTGTAGAGGAAGAAAAGACAAAGAACTACAACCAAATAAATTGTTGCATTCATGACGGCATTTGTATTATTACATATAGAACAGTCATTTTATTTGCAATTATATAGAGCTGTTATGGACAGTAATAAGAGGGGCATAACAATCGTGATGGAAGATTTAAATTCCAAAGTCTGAATTGAAAATGGACTGGAATATGTAGTGGGAAGATATCGAACGGATGGAATAAATGAAAATTGCGAAATGTTCATAGCTTTCTGTGAGTCAAGAATTTACTACTGGAGGAACTGTATTTATACGTACATAAAGAAATATATAAAAATACTAGGGTTTCTCCCGACCTTAGAATTGAAAATCAAATAGACCATATTGCAATAAGTCGGTTTTTCACAAGATCCCTTTGAGATATACGCAGACAAAAAGAGGAGCATATATTGGTAGTGACCATCACTTGGGTGTAGCATCTTTTCAAATGGAAATTACTGCTAACAAGAAAAACCATGATGCTATGTGAAAGGGACTAGGGATTGTAAAATCATGACAGCATCTATGAGTCCTGAAAGAAGCCTGTGGACAAGAATCTTTTCCATACCATATGATGTTAAGGTGGGTGCTGCACTTTTCTAAATTATATAATCATGTGTCCGGGGTTCCGTGCAGTAAAAGGAGCCTCCACTGTTAGAAGCTGCTACCAAACAAGTGGTGAAGTAGCACTTATTTGCAACTGTAGTTATTTGTAGATCATGTAGTTCAGTGAGAGTGTTATAATTAGCTGTGGGTGCAAGTAATAAGTGTTCAAACAATTTAAGCATCAATCCAAACCCTGTTTCTAGTCACTAACACATGACAATATAGATGTCATGTTGTATGTATGTATGTATGCATGCAAGGAGTGGCCCATAAAAACCGGCCCCTGCACTGCGACCTTCAATGATCTATTGTCCTTCCCCTTGGATTAGCCCCTTATTAATCGTATACTTTTAATAAAGTGTAGGACCCTGCTTATGGGGGCATCATAAAAGTCACTTGGGTCCATAAAAAACTGACCCAAGTGATGAAATCTTAAATAAGCTATGGCCTCACAATCACACAGGATGTGAGTGTGGCTGATTTGTTTCCTTGTAGGCACCTTTCGCAAGTTGGGTTATCTGTCAGTCCCAGTTTGAAAAGGTGTCCTTTTAGGTGGCAGTGTCTGGTAAGTAATCCTACCACCCATCTTAGTTGATCTCTGTTTAATCTCAACAGATCCTTCGTTCTTCTGGCAGAGGGTCCTGATATAAATCCTTTTGCCTGTTTGAGCCCAATTGTGGATTCCCAATATTTTTTTATGATTTCTATCACTCCAGTCCCTGATCGCTTTTTTGGCAACTCCAATTGAGATGCTGCAAGCTGGTTCAGATCCTATGAACGACTGTTCAGATCCTGTTCTTGCCAGATGATTTGCGGTTTCATTCCCTGCAATACCCTCATGACCTGGCAATCATATCAGTTGTACTCTGTTATGTGTGGCCAGTTGTATGAGGGATTGGTGGCAGTCCCAAACCAATTCTGAAGTGATTTGGTGTGTACCAGGTGGTTTAATTGCAGTTTGACTGTCTGACAGGATATAGATATTCCTATTTCTATAGTTTCTATCTAAATTCTCAACTGCACATGCCTTAATGGCATACAACACCTCTGCCTGGAATACTGCTGTGTACTGACCAAGGCTGAAGGTATGCTTCCGTCTCGTTCCATCACAATACACCCCAGCTCGAGTGTCTTTATTTGCCTTGGAGCCATAACGTCATGTTGATTGTTGCCTATGATTACAAGGGTGTTCTTCTCCTGACACACACCATTCCCTCTGGAAGTTTAGCAAATTCTGCATATTACCACAGTTTCCTGAAAAATCTCAAATCCAACAAAGAACGGGACCTTGCAAAATCAGTAATGTCATTGTTAAACCTCGTACATGGCTTGACCGCGACTCAGTATTGCTTCAGAAGAACTTATATTGCTCACTTGTTTAAAGTACAGTTTCAAATCAATATTTGTAAAGATAGAGTTTTGGCAAAGGATCACTGGAATTCGTCATGCAAGTTCTGTTTTTCCTAGTTATCAAAATTATTTGTCTTGTCACAAAAAATGTGTTACATCACATATGACAATACTGAAATGAGTGAACCTACTGATTAACATTTGTTTCTAAAAGTACAGGCCTCTTAGAGGCCATGATACCTTGTACAAGAGTGATGCAAATCTATCAGCCCTCTAGAAGAAGAAATAACTTTGTGAAAATTATATATAGTTGGTGCACAGAAAACATCTGCTAAGTTAAAAAAATCCTTCAACTGTATGAAAAAGGATAGCACATATCTGAGGAAGTTCTCAGTTCTTGACATAAACTGAATCTTATCCTGTTTAATTAAGTGTAATTAATTTTTCATTGCTATACACATGTCAACCACATATTATCTCTGCATATTATGTTGGTGTGTCTATCCGCAGCATAACCTCCTCCTCACCATCCCTCAAATGTCTATATTTATTATATTTTATCACAGTTAGATCTAAGTTTGACCGGCCTCCTATGTAACGCGTACCAGGCTGTCTCCCTGGGGTTAAAGTGGCAGGGGCATGAAGCTCACCATTCACCTCCATTTAGTGCTAAAGTCAAGAATGGTTGAACTATACCTTCACTCCCCCATACACCCTCATGGCATGGTACTTAATTAATTAAGTCCAGGGATAACTTTATCTACCTATTAATCAACAATTAACAACTGTCTCCCAAACACCCCTAACAATTACCAAAGTATCTTATCCTTGACGATAATTAAACAGTGCTTCCTCTGACCTGAATTTGCTATGTCTACAGGTATACAAATATATATTTCATTAAATACAACTGATTAGCTACAAAAGTTTTCTGTTTTCAAACATAATACATAAATATGCAACAAAAATACTGTTCCAGTTGTTTCAGCAAAATATCAGACTCAAAAGAAAAAAACAAATGGAAGGCTTAATTGTATTTATATTGTGTTGAAAACAGATTTCTTCTGTTCTTTTAATATAATGCTCTATTATAATATGACTTTGCAGCATATATTGAACACTTCATACATATTTAAATTTCCTTTAGTATGTCTAATAACAATGAACAGTGAAGCCTTAGGATTGATTATTTATTCCTTCTGTTTTGACTACTCGCCGATTTTAAAATTATCAACTTAACAGTAAACAGCTGCACATGAGTTTAATGGTTGTTTACCATAAGGGAAGAGTTCATCATAGTCTTTGCTACTCCAATTATCTAAAAGAAGGTACTCCAGAATTGCAGAATATTGCTTCCCATTTCTCACATTAGCTACATACTCGTATTCTGTTCTGATAGCTAGACAAACACCCACTGAGAATTCAACGAGCAGGCTCAGTATTTGTTATGTAGGTTTTCATATTATCCCTATTCCTTTCCTTTTGTACATGTTATGAAATATGTCAAGGATGATGTTTAATACCATCTTCATGAAATAATGCACAAATAGTCAAACATAAACCATCTCCTTTATACTATACTTTACATTCTGAAATAAAATATTATCAGTATTCATAGAATTGACATATGTGCAAATAAAAGATTGCTCTCTTGTTCGTGACCTCCTGCATAACTTACAAACATAATATGTTCCTGCTTGACAATTTCTTGCTATGGTAACTGAAATTGTGTAATTTCCTTCCTTCCTGGTGCTGTAATCTGTCTGTATTTCTGTTGTTCACGTCCAAATTTCTGCATCATAATTGAGTACATTAATATTTGTATGTTTCATATACTGTAACTTTAAATATTTTCTGAATTTTGCAATTCCAAGGGATGTCTTTAACTGTCTGATATAACTTCCTGCTATCAGGCATGTTCACACACACACAACAAAGTATGCAGCATTACTGCCTAGGAACCCTGTTACTGGAACAGAAAACCGCAATATTTCTTAAATGAATTCTTTGTGGTTTCTGCATATATAACTGTCCCTGATCTTTATTTATTTTATTAATAAACTATTGTAAAGCTAATTACTATACTGATAACAGATTTCACAGTCAAATTATTATTCCTTTGCTTCATTAAATATTTCACAAAGTGTAAAATGTTTCAAATGGAAGTTGTAGATCTACATAGCATCTACATTTAATGTTCTGCACATACTTTTTGTGCAACAGACTTTTTAAGAAAAGCAATGAAATTTAATTTGAATGTCATGTAAAGCAGTGTTGCATTAGACCAATATAAATCAAAATTATACTTTCTTGATAATTTTTAATCAGCATATTCCATACTAAATATCATCAAAATCTGTTCAGTAGTTTTGCAGATGAAATGCAGTTCAGGCACCCATGCCCTTCCGATTATTCTATTTTAAGGCTGAGTTGCACCACTGTAACCCATAGCACTATTTATTATCATATTACAATCACAACACATGCTCCTGATGTAGCTTAAGATTAATATTACTTTCCCAACATGTTTTGACATCTGTCATCTTCAGAGGCATACACTTATGATATAATGCAGAAACTATCTCAAGGTTGTTATTTATGTTTGTACATGACTTTAGGACTCTTAAATGCCTTAAATCTTTCCTGTTACCTTCTTATACATAATCATACACTATATATTGCACATTAATTTTTCTGATGATGAAGTCCTGTGAAATCTGTATGTCTGGTGGTGTGCTGAATTAATGGTGATGTTCTTTATTTTAAGCTGAAACAAATAAATAAAAATCTTTTGTATTACTGAACTAATCATAACTGAATATGTATGAAGTTAGAATATTATAACAAAAATTTTAAGTTAGAACATTATAACAAAAATTTTAATTAAGAGTTTATTTGTTAGATGTCATTGCGGAAAGCACCTTACCTGCATAACAGTGAGTCTGTACTTGTAGATGTCAAAAGTTTGGGATGGTAATATTAATCTTAAGCTACGTCAAGAACTTATGCTGTAATTGACTGTAACATGACAATAAACATTAATATTATTCCTTCATTCTTAGGTACTTCAGTAAAATAACCAAGCAGGTTGGCTTAGGTGGCAAAGCTTATGATGTGTATTCAGGATGAGCCTGATTTGAATCTTGACTCCTATCTCCTGTCTCAGACCCTCACACTGGTATGACATCTTGAAACAGGGCATGACTAATTCCTTCCACATAGATTCCAATTAATCATTCATTACTCATCCTACCACTAATTGTTATACAGTCTGAGCTACTGAGCATTGTTAAATAAATCACACACAAATAAATAACTAAATAAATATTGTCACTTTTGCAAAATATGACTGCTGTATGATCATATATGCTGCCCGACACAGCTACAAATACAGCATGATGACAAGTCTTTTAAAATATAAAAAATGTTTGCACTAATAGTTTCAGTGAAAACAATTTCCATGTTACTTAGACTAATCAGTCAGGCCATGCATGCAAATTTTCTGTACTGTATAATATGGACTGTTAAAATAATGCTGCATAATTCATAGGACACGGCATTGTAAATGTGTGAAGATCTCAAAGGAATTTCATTGAAAACATTGCTAAATATGGCTCATGGGTTAGTTATCATATACGGGTGGCAGTCTTCTCATATTAATTGAGTTGCAAAATGTAGTACTGCAACTTCAAATGCCTACTGGTTGCTCTTTTATTTATATTTAGAACATATGACATAAGGGAGGAATGTTTATATTTACAATGATGTATGATATGCATATTCATTTTACACTAAAATAAGTCAGTACCTGCATCCTTTTTTTCTCAACCATTTACCATTACTAGGAGTTCCTGACGCAAGTCAGTTCTAAGCTGGCATGTTTCTGCCACAGACGATTGCAGCCGACAAGCACAGGGCTAGCAGATTAGCACCACTCTCCTACTGGCAGAATTTGAAATCAAAATATATGAAAGAAAAAGAAAAGATTTGTCCCACTCTACTCCTTGTTTGTTTCCAGGGCAGCATTCGCTGCCATAACTGCTAACTTCTGATGCCGTGGCGTCTGCTGTAATGGTTGCTGGTCATGCTGCTTTAAGTCTTGGATGAGTGGTGATATTTCTGATATGGGTGTTCCTAACACTTCTTCACATGCATCTTGTATCTCCTGATCCAACATCAGTGATGAAATCTGATCATCAGTCAACATCTCCACACTGAAATATCAAAGTACTCATGACAGTCCTCTATATTTGCTACCCACAGTTAACCATACAGAAATTGTACATTATTCCAAAAAACAATGCACAACATATGCTACTGCACTGCCGAGTTTTGTAATGTTGGCTGCTGAAGCACACGCACTCATAACAGTACAGTGAGGGGTACTGAAACCTCACCAGGAATGTCTTCAGGGGCACATGCACTTGAACTCACTTTCTGGAACTTGAAGTAGTACCACCAAACACAGAAGACAAAGCTACAATATTCAGTACTTCTCTGCAGATATCTGGTGAGCACTGCATATTATATTGTTCATGTTTGGCTTCTTAAGACAAGAAAAAAAGAAAACCACACATACATACCACTCATCTAAATCTAAACTGAATTCAGTTAAGCTCACCTGGCAAGACTTTCACTGTCAGATGTTGAATCATCCTCAGCATTGAGGTATGTCAAAGACTTCTCCAGTGGTGATGGCACTTTCTTGGTGAGGTTGCTTCCTTTCTCCTCTGAAATCAGGAATGATTTTGTTTAGAAGTAAAGCATTAAAGTTGAGTTTCAATACTGGAGATTTAATATGTCACAAACATATACTGAATACATGGATCCTAAAGGGTTCTGACAATGGTGTATGGCACTGAGGATTACTCAGCTTTGGGACTTTGTCTATCATCTGGAATTCTAAAGGAAACAACACTTTTGGAAACTGGATCTGCTTCCATCCTCAGGTGCAAGGGTGGGAGACACCTACACTGGCAGGTCCATTAGAAAGAGGTAACCCCAGTCACTGAACAACCTATGACCAGTTCAGTCCAGTCTAGTAAATTCCTGTTGGTCCTTTCCGGCACAGTCACTCTTCGTTTCAGGACCAGGTTGGACCCATGACCAAATTCTTGTTTGTTCCAAGACCATTCATGTGCCTGGAAATGGGGCCTCCTCTTCGACGAGAGGAGTTGGTGGTCCTTCTGAGCAGGTACCACATTTTTTGCATTGTAATTTTGCACAAGTGTACCTCGTGAGGAGTGTTGTTAAGAAGATTGCTTGTAATGACAGAATTATTGCTCTGAAGTTAAAGGCAGAACCGGTAGATATACTGATTATACAAGTGTACATGCCAACATCAGAGTATGAAGACGATGAAGTGGAAAAAGTGTATGACACAATTGAAGAAATTCTTCAGGAAGATGGAAGAGGAGACACAAACAGCATCATATTGGGAGACTGGAACAGCATTGTTGGAGATGAACCATATCAGAATATTGTTGGATCACATGGACTAGGAAGACGGAATCACAGAGGTCAAATGCTTATTGACTTTTGTGAACGAAATGGATTGATTGTTACCAACACTTGGTTCAAGAAGCCAAAGAGAAGAATTTACACATGGAAGGCACCTGGGGATTGGAAGAGGCATCAGCTGGACTACATCCTTGTGAAACATCGATTCAGAAACAGTGTGAAGGATGTGAAGACGCTTCCTGGGGCAGACATTGACTCTGACCACAACTTGCTGGTTGCCAAGTTCCGAACCAGGTTGAAGAAAATTATAGGATTTCGAAAGCGCAGACCCAGATGGGATTTGGAGAAGTTATATGCTCAAAGACAAAGCGTGCAAGAGACTCTAGAAGAGAAACTCGGTGCAATTGAAGGTGAAAGCGGAAATGCTGAAGCGCAGTGGAACGATATAAAAGAATGCATGTTAGATACTATCAGTGATTTGGTAGGTAAAGTTGAGAAGATAGCAAGAAAACCATGGGTTACACAGGAGATGATGAGTAAAATGGAGGAGCGAAGGAAATGGAAGAATGTCAACAATGAAGAAGGCAGGAGGAAATACAGGAGACTGAGGAATGAATTGAAAAGAGCCACGGACAGGGCCAAAAAGGAATATCTTGAGAAGATATGTAATGAGATTATGGAATTTCAAAGAACAGGCCGTTATGATTTGATGTACATGAAGACAAAAGAACTAGGATGGAAAGAGAATCATGGGATTCAAAATGTTGGCATCGAAGACTCCCAGGGGAATAGAATAGTAGATCAGAGGCAAGTGCTGAAAATTTGGGAAAATTATATTTCAGAACTATATGATCGACCTAATCGGCCAGAAACCTTAGAAGTTGAACCGGAAGAAGAAGTAGATACAGACGAGAAAGGACCATATATTTTACAAAGTGAGGTGGAAAAAGCTATCAAGGAAATGAGGAAGGGAAAGGCTACAGGAGATGATGATGTACCTGGAGATGTGCTCAAGTTACTGGGAGAAGGTGGTTTGAAAACACTGACAAAACTAATGAACACCATATATGAAAGTGGAGAGTGGCCCAAGGACTTTACAGAAGTTACAATGATTGCCTTAAAGAAAAAGACAAAAGCTACAAAATGCAGCGACCATCGCACAATAAGTCTTATTGCACATACAGCAAAGATAATAGCAAAGATACTTAAAAGAAGAATTGAAAGGAAAATAGAGGATGTACTTGGAGAAGATCAGTTTGGATTTAGAAGAGGAAAAGGAACCAGGGATGCAATTGGGATGATGAGAATTATAGCGGAACGAACTTTGGAGATAGATGAAGAACTGTGTGTTTGCTTCATAGACTGGCAGAAGGCATTTGACCGGGTAAACTGGACCAAATTAATGCAGATCCTGAAAGAAACAGGTATCGATTGGCATGAAAGAAGATTGATTAGCAAATTGTACATGGATCAGAAAGTTAGAGTACGACTGGACAGGGGGGAGACAGGAAGTGTGCAGATTGGAAGAGGAGTTCGACAAGGATGCTGTTTATCACCAATTCTGTTCAACTTGTACAGCGAATGCCTTACCAAGGAAGCTCTGGATGGGCTCGGTGACTTCAAAGTAGGAGGGCAAATTATTCAAACTGTGAAATATGCAGATGACCTTGTGTTAATGGCTAAGGAAGAAACTGTGCTACAGGGCATGATTGATAGACTAATTGAAATTGGAAGGTGCTATGGCATGGAAATGAATGTGGAGAAAACAAAAGTAATGAAAATTTCGAGACAACCAACCCCAGTCACAATAAAGATAGACCAAAAACAAGTGGAGAATGTGAAATGTTTTAAATATTTGGGTAGCTTGTTAACAGATGATGGAAGGTGTACTTGTGAAATTAAATCCAGGATTGCCATGGCAAAAGCTGCATTTAGCAAGAAGAAGAATCTTTTTACCAGCAAATTGGACTTAAATTTGAGGAAGAAACTAGTGAAATGCTACATTTGGAGCATAGCTCTGTATGGGGCTGAAACATGGACACTTAGGGCAGTAGATCAGAAACATCTGGAAAGTTTCGAAATGTGGTGTTGGAGAAGAATGGAGAAGATCAGTTGGACCGATTATGTGAGAAATGAAGAAGTGTTAATTAGAGTCAGTGAGCAGAGGAATATCCTACATGAAATAAGAAAACGGAAGGCTAATTGGATTGGTCATGTTTTACGCAGAAACTGCCTTCTAAAAGAAGCTATCGAAGGAAAGATAGATGGGCGGATAGAAGTGACAAGAAGACGAGGAAGAAGACGTAAGAAGATGCTGGATGACCTTGGGGACAGAAGAGGATACTGTCATTTGAAGGAGAAAGCTCTAGATCGCATTAAGTGGAGGAATTGTTTTGAAAGAGACTGTGGACCTGTCGTCTTGACAGATTACTGATGATGATGATGACCTCCACTCACACAGCATCCAGGTAAAGACATTTGTACTTTATGGACACCACACATGCTTTGTCATTTTATTACAATAAATAACATTTATTTAAGATATACACAGGACATCTGTCAGTGCAGGCTATTGCAGCAGATTATGCCTTACCACTCTGAAATGGCAGTCACTCACTTGAATAGGCCAAAGTTTAAGCCTCTTATACTTCCAACAACCTATGTCAGTCGGCCAGGTAAACTGCTGCTGGTCCTCAACAGCACAGTCATTCTTGAAGGGTTCTATCTTCTGAGATATAACGCCATATAGTCCGCTGAAAGTCAGCCGACATTTCAGAGAAACATGTCACCACCATCTTCAGGGTCAAAGAATAAGACAAGCAAGAAGCCAGCATGAAAGCAGGTAGCAAGAAGAGCAATCAGCTTGCCGACGTTTCGAAATTATATAGAAATAAAGCTGATAATTTGAAATGTAATTCATGATCATGACAAGCCATATTTTCTAAATCTAAGCCCATCAACAAAGCCAAAGCAGCAACCACTGCGCTGCATAAACTAACAGAAATCCTGGTTAAAAGGATGAAGAATGTGGAGGTGGAGGAGAAGCCCTTTGAAGATGATAATGTGATTAAAGAATGTTTAGTTACAGCAGGTCAGTGGCCTTCGTAGTCTAGAGGTAACGTTCCCACCTCATGACTCATGGTACGCGGGTTCAAATACCTGTGGAGGTCGTCGAATTTTTAAGGGCGGAAAAATTCAGGGAACAAGTCCTCCGGGAGGGACTTTAAGCTGTGTGTCCCGTGTCATAACTTTAGAGCACGTAAAAGAACCTCATGTCCCCAAAGGGGATCACTGAGCCAAATTCCAGGACATTTCCCGCCCAACAATAGTCTCTAAGACCTCTGACAGATGGGGGAAGCATTATAGATACCGCTAAGCAAGTGGCCGAACTCGCTTGCTCGGCGGGACTGATGGTACGCACCATTTATCGGTAGGGTATAGAGACTGGTAGAATATCATAGAGGGAAGCACAATAGATCAAAATGGTCGCGGTGCATGGGGAAACCCACCCTCTCTAAATAACTAACTAACTACAGCAGGTCATTCATTATGTAATGAATTCAGAAATTAAACTCAAATATGCAATGCCATTGAGGAGGTCAAGTTATCTAGAAACACTGCTACTAGAGGAGTGGAATTATGTCCAATGACACGAGCAGCAAATGCAGCAAAATCTTGAAAACTGTGAATTTTAGTCTTCATCCAGATGAGTCAACTGATGTGATGCTTTCCAGTTACTTGTTTTTATTCAACCGTTACATGGGAAGACTAGAGGTGAACACACATTTCAAAGTTTTGATGGTAGCATTCTAGAACTTAATGTTTCCATTCATAAACTTGTGTCAATCATAACAGATGGTACACCATGCACAACAAGTGAAAACGGCTTAATTGGGTTTTGCAAAAAAGATCCTGCTTTCCCACACATTTTCTTACTATTGTGTCATTTGCCAGCAAGCTCTAAGAACAAGTGATCAATTTTCAACATGAGATGAGTGGTCTGCAAAAATCTGTAAACTTGATCCATGCTAGGCATCTTTAACATGGGCTCTTCAAATATCTATTAGATGAAACTGACATGCATTACAGAAACTTGATATTACATACTGAAGTCTGTTGGCTGAGTAGAGGAAAAGTTTTATTAGGGTTCAAAGAGGAGCTTCTTCCTGAAATTGTGGAGTTTCTTTAGGACCTGGGTGATTTACCTCCGCGGTTACAAGATTCTCTGTGAATGCTAGATCCAGTTTTCCTCACTGCTGGAATAAGTGACCTGAATACTGAGCTTCAATGTGAAAGCAACTCCATCATTAACCCTTTCACTGCTAGTATGTTAAGTAACTCTCAGTACCCTCTGTGCTGAATTATTTTTAATAAATCTTTTATAAATAATTTAAGTGCAAAGTATGAAAATTTTTGATAAAATGTAACTAATCTCACCTCAGACAGGGAACAGGCATCAGAAGTTGCAAAAATGCTGAATTATTCAGTATTTTTCAGAGGGGAAAAGTCCATTTAAATCAGGGTTGTCCAAGATGGCCAAAAAAATACATAATTCACTATTACAGTCCTATCACTATGTCACATGTTGACCAAAGTCCGGAACTTTATTTAAATCTATTATAGAAAGCACTGCGCACTACATGAAGCCATCTTTACTAGCCCTGTGAAATACCCGCATCACATGATCACAGAGAGCATGCCTCGCTGTGCAGATGCAACCTTTTACATTTCTTAAGCTAGAGGGCAGAAGAATGCAGCCATTGAAATGAATAATGCTTCAATACGTTCCCCATAGATTACTATGCACCTGCCAAGTTTTAATGAGATTGGTGCAAAGAAACCTGAGATTTGAAAATCTAAAGTCACAACATGGGTTTTGTTGATCGCAGCAAGGACGCCATGTTTTTCAGAGATCAACATGTCAACCGCAGCAGTGTAAGGTTTAAAATGACTGGCACCATTAATTTCTCTCAAGGAAAACTGAAGTTATGGAAGACTCTATTAAAAAAGTTTGAAAGAAGATTTAAAGACTTTGATCTGACATTACCACTCTGATTCAAGAGGGAGATACAAGCGACAGCGTTGAACTTATTTCTTATGTGTTCAAGAAAAATGTGAGTGAACTAAAACTTGAGATTATTAATTTGCAAAGAGCCTTATCACTGACGACAAGACTGAATTACACATAAATTTAGTGCCACCTATATGGTGTCCAATTCTAAAACAGGTGTGATGAAAAATGAATGCATGTTTTGGTTCAGTTAACTGAATCACAGTTCTCAAAACTGAATTAGAGTTCTCAAAATACTAAAGTCGAAGTACAGATCATTACCTGATAAACATTTAAATGACTGTATGAGACAGACCATTACTAAATACACTCCTGGCTATAATAAGCCAGCTGGAAAGATAATGAGTCAAGTATCACACTGAATTCCACAACCTTGTTGAGACAGAATATTTTCCTTAGAAAATATGCCATATACATATATCACATTTTCTTGAATAAAACAAAGCAAACTACACAATTGATTAAACTGATATGATATCTGTTAATCTACCACTTTTTATGTTTCTCATAATTTTCTATGGGTTCTCTTGCTGAAGTCCTATGATAAAAACAACATTAATATATTTATATCTTAAACAACTTATATTTGCCTGTCTTCCTTCAGGCTTTACCTTACAATAATGAGTAGAATATTTAAAAAATGCTATGAGCTTTTTGTCTATGGAGATATACATTACATTACTAATTTATTTTGTTGAAATGTCATAGAAATGGAGACACCATAGCCTACATTGTGAATTTCATTTTTTATAAATTTTTCAGACTATTATCAGTATATTTGTGTTGTGTATAATATACAGAAAAATATGCAGATAAGAGTATATACATAATTATACATATAGTTATATATTCCACATTTTATGTATTGAACATCATGTTGAACCTGCAAATAGACCAAATTTTGCCAAAGTTGCTTGCACCAAAAAAATTGGCCATGCCTGCTGTAGCAGATGATGTTCATTCCAGGTTTCACAAAAATTTGTCTACATGTTAAAAAATTGGCAATGAATGATTTACTGTAATCACGTTTATCCTGGAAAAATAGGGAAAATAAGTTAGGATGTGCACTGAAACTGTGACATACCTGCAGTGATCATATTGTCCTGCTCCAGTTTATCAGGTGCTGCTCGGGGCTCGCTGGCTCGTCTTTCAGTAAGTGATGATATGCTGAGCATCATTATTCCATGGGACAGCAGCTCCTTCACTCTCTCAGTTGTAGGACCACCCCACCGAAGGGTGTCCAGACTCTGACGCCGGTTCAAGTTCCCTTGGTTCTGTTCACTGACCTCAGCTGACGCTGTAGACCGAGATATCCACCCAGATAGGCTGGAGTCTAGTTTGGCCTTTCTCGCCAAGTGGCCACCTGTAATCCTCTCTCCTGGCTTTGTGACTTGTCCATCAGAGTTCTCTGATAACAACGGATGTTTTTCATATGCTTTTGAAACTGTTTTAGGCCATATGTTCTCATTTTCAGGTGCACATCTGGCAGTAGAGGCATTCTGAGAGATGTTACCTGTTTTCTTCATTAACTTGGGGCTCACCTGTTGGAACGTTTGCTCAGGGAAATTGACTGCAGGCAGGAATTGGTTTTTCAGAACACTGGTGAAACTAGATGATTCAGACTTTGATGTCGAGGCAGTCTGCACAGTTGATGGTGCCGTCTGATCCATTACTGAGGAGTACTGAATATAGTCCTTGTCTGTGTGTCTGGAAGCAACTGATCCCATTTTCGCAAATGTTTGTGAGAATTCCTCTGGAGAATCCACAAGGCTAATTTCAGTCCATATCTGATCATTAGAGTCATCCAGTGGAAGCAATGGACTCTCAGCTGAGCTATTCCTGTCCTCACCTTCAGAACCACCACCATTCTCATCTACCTGCACATCTTCCTGTTGCAAGAATGGATTGGAACCCATCCGTGATGACAACCGGTTCTGATCTACAAAACTTGTCTCCATAATCTTTAACCATGGTTTACTGACCACACTGGGTCTTGGTGACATTGACACAGGCTGCAATGCGTTCTGGGATCGTATTGCCAGCTCTGCCATCTGCTGAATGCTGCTAGTGTCCTCAGCTGTCACTTCTCTGCCTCCAGAAAGATCAGACAGACCCATGTATTCAGACATCTGTGAGACCATAGTTTCCTTACCAGCCTGCAAAACATGCAAACAACATGATTCTGCTGTTTAAATCTGATCAGAGTAAGCTATAAACATCCATAAAGTGAATGAACAATCACCTTAGAAATAATAGGCGAGGCACTTGGTCCAAGTTTCTCTGGAAGATGCAAGAATTCCTCCCCGGAATCGGAGTCTGGTGGCCCGGTGCCCGTGGAATCAGACCACATATCTGTACATATAAACATTGAAAGCTTTTATAAATCAAGTATGTTGGGAAAAATATTTGTTACCTGATGCAACTTTTGGCTCAAATATTTTGTTATTCAGTCTACAGCCATGAAAGAACAACTGTGAATCAGGAAGGTTCAGACAGAAACCTACAACCTACAAAAACAATTTACAGGTATGCTCTGCTTTTTACATCATTTTGAATTATGCTGTTTCAGAATGGCAGCAGAAACAAACAGCAGACATTCTGTGCCCAATATAACGCTGTCTTGAGCTGAGTTCTTTGAAATCTTGTCTGTGTATGCTACCTATTGAATCTATCACAAGTTACTATTAAAAAATTGTATAAGTAATATGATAAAATCTCTAATAACAGAATAATGACAAGATGCAATGCTTATAATACATTAAATAGAAATACTGTTTTGTGAACAGGAGGTTTTTGTGGTGTTTGAAATGATACTCATGTCAAATAAAAATTACAAAACCAATTGGAGTTAAGTAAGGCTTAAGCTAGGTCGGAGAGCCCAAAAAATGCATCCCCCTTTCAAAACACAGAGTGAATCCTTTCTAAGATGTTTTCCAAGAGACCAAGAAATACGAAGAGCATTCCGTATATAATGCCTCTTATTTCTTTGTGTTAATATGTAACATCTGAGCTGGATGTTGGTGGTGTTGTAGTAAAGGTTGAACCTTCCCGTCAATCTACTGTTAGTTTGGCTGTCGTGTGAAGGATAGCGACAGCAGAGCAGTCTACCAAAATGGCATCTGACATAAAAGTGGGTATGAAACCGAGATGTGTTATTGAATTTCTCACTGCCGAACAAATTGCACCCATCGACACTTGCTAAAGGTGTACGGAGATGATACAGTTGATGTCAGCACAGTGAGGCGGTGGGTAGTGCGTTTCAACAGTGGCGAAAGTGAAGTGAACGACAAGCCACGCCCTGGGCGTCCCTACTCAGCTGCCACTCCTCACAATGAACAGTGCCTCATCTGTACAGATCGGCAGATAACGACCAGGGAACTGTGTGCACGGCTTAATATCAGCTGTAATACATTGGAAACGATGTTGGGGAAGCTGGATTATCACAAAGTTTGTTCCAGGTGGGTCCTGCGGGTGCTTACACAGGACCACAAAACTCATTGAATGGAAGTCTGTCAGAACCTGTTGCACTAGTTTGAGGCTGAAGGTGACAAGTTTCTGGACAGCATCGTTACCAGAGATGAGACGTGGTGTCACCACTGTGAGCCAGAATCCAAAAGACAGTCCATGGAGTGGCAACATCCAGATTCCCCAAGAAAAAAGAAGTTCAAGACACAGCCATCGGCAGGGAAAGTGATGTGCATGGTCTTTTGGGATAGGCGGGGTGTGATTTTGTTGGATTTTCTGGAGCCTGGTGAGACTGTCAATTCTGAATGCTGCAAGACGACGGTGACTAAGCTGAAAGCCCGCGTTTCCTGAGTCAGGCCAGAGAAGCAGACAACCTTTCGCTTGCAACACGATAACACTAGACCCCATACCAGTTTGGCGACCACCACGCACATTGCAAAGTTTGGCTGGACTGCTCTACCACATCCACCGTATAGCCCCAATTTAGCACCTTCAGACTTCCACCTCTTTGGGCCTATGAAAGATGGACTAGGTGGGCAACATTTTCCAAACAACGATGCTGTCATTGCAGCTGTAAGAAAGTGGCTAGCCTCTGCTGGCAGAGACTTTTATGGGCACAGCATACAGGTTGTTGTTCATCGCTGGCAAAAGTGCATAATGAATGCTGGTGATTATGTGGAAAAATAACTGTAAGTAGCTGAATTCTTGCTCTATTTAACTGCGTTATTATGCTTTCTGTATCTGTTGTAGTTTTCATAAAAAAATTGGAGGCATTATATATGGAACACTCCTCGTATAAGTTTCTTAAGTGGGAAAATGGTTTAAAAGGATAAGCTTAAAAATCTTTACAGAATTAATTATATTCTTTGTAGAAAACTATCAAAATGAGTGTCACTGCTTTACACTGAATAAACGGTTAAATGCACATAAAATACATAGGCTTTTGAGTATACACTACATGTTCCTGCTGTCATGGTTGAAGCTTAATAGTCTGTTCTAAAATGTTATTCTTTCTTGAAGATCATATCTCATTTTGCTCATCTTTCCAACAAACTGAAGTCAAATTTTCCAGTTCTCAGAGATTTCTGACAGTCAATTTTGGCTACAGACAAACTGACTGTGTTGACATCACAGACCTGTCATGCTTTTGCAGGTATGTGTGCAATGTCATGTCACTGCTAGTTATGAAACATCTTAAATGTGTGAGCCTATGGACTCATTAAGGCATTTCTAAATTTTGGCAAAGAAACCCTGTGAATCAGAAAAAATTGGGAACCACTGTAAAATGATTCTTTCTTGACAATCACATTGTTGGCACCTTTAAAAAAACATACTTTATACTCTGTGTCACATGCATCTAGTGGTTTCTTCTTTAGCGTTTTATTTGTATTCAACTGAATATCTCACATATCACTTCTATCTTGTATGGCCTGAATACATTATCTCACAGAAGTATAATGTGTAACAACTATGGGATTTCTACTGACCTTCATTATAAAGCTCTCAAAACAAACTTTCTTGGCAAACAGCAGTAAGTTAAGATGTGAGGTTCTCATTGCAACGAATATTAAAACCTTGAAATGCTGGTACCTATCTATCCAACGACAAGTTGTCAGACCCCAGAAGACTATAATTAAAATCATGAACACTCACCTCAAATATCTCTCTTGAGATAGCAGGAAACTTAAAATATGTTCATCATCTTAGGATGTTGTTAGTACCTGTATCTGGAAGGGAAGATGAACTAATACCAGGCGGAGAGATCTTGCAAGGTGGAAGTTCAGCATGGTTTGTGTCTGGAGAACTAGCCGTGAGAGGTAGTGGAGACTCGGCCCCAACACCAGACCCTCGGGCACCCAAAGGGTCACCTCCACTTGCCATCTCCCCCTCATACTTGCGAGTCTGCAGAAGCAAAACATTCAGCTTTACTAATATCTGAACTTGTTGCTTTCCAGTTAGTAAACACATTATCACACTTCTGTAAATGCCTCCAATGGATCATAACTCAGTGGCAAGTCCATGATCAACTGAAAAACTAACTTTCACTGATGTTCATTATCACAGAATACTTTGGAATACTAAACTATGCAGAAATATACATACAAGTGCTTCATCTACCAGACTAACTACAGTAATTCAATTTCAAAATTTATGCTTTGCTATTCTGAATACCTCATTCTTTTGGCATTCATTTGCAGCAATCTGTCAATGCAAAAGTTAACTGACTATAGATATAGCACTGCTTAGAGACAGATATTATTTTTCCTTCTCCTTTGTTCAACACATTATCAAAAAACATTTCATATAAAAGTCACAGAGTTGACAACTATATTTTAGGTTATATAGTAATTTTCTGTATGATGAAACATTTTTGAGGAATCTGGTAAGTTCAAATTCAACTTAATGCAAAGTAAGATCATGACTGACTAGAACAAAGCAAAATTAAATTCCCTCAACAATTAAATTTTAACGAGGACTCCAGTGGCAGATTTTCTATGCTCATATACGTAGGTGAGTCAATAAGGAAGTTACAAACTGATGTGGGGTACTACATGTTTGAATGAGGCACTTGAGGCTATCAACACTAGATGGCAGCATTAGTACGGTGGCAACTGATGACATTCGACATGACACAATCAATGTTTACAAAAGCAAAACAGCAGTTGCAAGATGGCGGCACCTCTGAGTGAGTGTACAACAATCAAGCAGCGCTCCGTTGTGTGATTTTTGTGGGCAAAAGGTATGGAGTCAAAGAATATTCATAAAAAAAAATGCTTCCCATCTATGGTGAGAAGTGCCTGTCATGTCAAACTGTTTACAATTGGGTGCAGAAGTTCTCTGAAGGGTGGACACGTATCAAAGACGAACACCACGTTGGCCGTCCAACGGAGATTGCCACAGAGGCGAATGTGCAACGGGTTGAAGACTTAATCCAAGCAGACAGAAGGGTAACTATAGACACTATGGCCACTGCTATTGGTTGTTCACACAGCATGGCCTACCTCATAATGCATGACAGGTTAGGTTTTCACAAAGTCTGTGCACGATGGGTGCCGCGAATGCTGACCCCACAACACAAGATGCAAAGAATGGGTCTGGCATTACAGCATCTCAATCACTACCACGATGAAGGACATGATATGCTAGCTCTAATTGTCACAAGTGATGAGTCTTGGGTTCACCATTAGCAGCCTGAGACAAAGCCTGCGTCAATGCAGTGGAAACATCCTACGTCGCCTGCCAAAAAAAAAGTTTAAGGTGACACCATCCTCCAGGAAAGCGGTGCTCACAGTCTTCTGGAATCATGAAGGCACGCTGCTCACCTCATTCCAGTCTCAAGGACAAACCGTAAATGCCGACTCATACTGTAACATCCTCAGGAAACTTTGTAAGGCCATTCAACAGAAGCGACCAGGACTCCTCACCAAAGGCGTGTTACTCTTGCATGACAACGTGCGTCCCCATACTGCCAACAAGACAAATTACACACTGCAAAATTTCAAGTGGGAAGTCCTCGAGCATCCTTTGTAGGGCACCAACCTTGCACCAAGAGACTTCCATTTCTTCGGCCCTCTTAAACATCATCTTTCGGTTGCACATTTTTCCGACGATGAAGCTGTAGAAAGGGAAGTCACCGCCTGGTTCCGACAGCAGCCCAAAGAATTTTATGCTGCTGGTTTTCAGGGGCTTGTGAATCGATGGGACAAGTGCCTCAATGTACAGGGAGATTGTGTTGAGAAATAAAAGCATTTTTCAAATCAGTACTCTTATTTGTTTAAGTTCTATATCCATTTGTAACTTACTTATTGACTTACCCTCGTATTTGTAGCCCTTACTTTTTGATAACAACATGTTTTGGTGCCATTAACGCTGTGATCATGAATTTCATCCTTGGACTAAGACACTTACGTGGTAGATCAGTTTCTAGTGGGTGAGACATGAATCTCAGACAATAAAATGATGCAAGGTGAAATGACATAGGGTGAAAATAATGACATATAATTTAGATGATGTGTGTTTAATAAATCTCACACACAATCTCAGAAGTAGGCAATATCACACATATCCAGTAGTATAACGCACGCAGTCACAGGAGCAAGACATAACAAAGAGCACAATACACACATGAATGTAGGAAGAGTGCTCCCACAGAGGGGGGATTGGGGTGATTCACATGTTGAGATACGACGTAAGGATGACAAATCCTGAAAAGTTTTAATATTTAAAATCTATTATTATACATGACGAATATATATTTTAGTCATTTTAGTATGAAGACATCAGGGCATGCAATGCAGCAGTTTGACGTGCATAGAGAAAACGCACCTGAAGATGGCACATTAGTGCTGAAACATGTAGTGCAAAAGAGAAGAGTAAGGTGCAAAAGTGTGTGCACTGTAAGATGGTTAGCATAAATCATGGACATGATCCCTGTATTTACATTTCTAATTTTTTGTTGATAGGCTATTCTCTGGTTAGAAATGCTGGTCTAATGCAACGGACATGATAACAAAGACTGACCCTGTGTATCTCATCACTTATTTGCTCCAGGTTCCTCAGAGCCTCTGCATAACTCATCTTGGAATGTCCAACCTGCTGCTCCAGGCTCTTCACACGTTTCTTCTGATCTTCCAACAGCTGGTTGAACTGAGCTTTCATCTCAAAGTATGGTCTGCAAAACAAACAACATTATTCAATGACTGCTTATTTTGTAGATACAATCAATCATTCCTCACGAATGTTATGGTCCTAAAGATTTTTAAAATTCATCCTTAGAATCTTGTATCCAACCCCAGATGTCAATCTGCTTGTCTGTCTAGGCTCTGGTTTCATCATAGCCATTAACATCATAGACCTGTGTGATTATGAAAAGGGATGAACCAGTATGGGTGCAGGCAAAGGTAAAGTTGTCTCCATGCTTAACTAAGCACAACAACATGAAGACATACAGAGGAGTGGAGGCATAAATCCATTGCATTTTTAATCTTGGTCACTAGATGGAGGTAAGTGGTCAGACTGAGGTCCTGGTCATTTTATCTGCAGTGAATCAGCCTCCAGTACCTACTGCATATGAGGCTTGGTGGACCCAGAGTCAATTTGGATGCTGTAGAAAAGAGAAAAACCTCTTACCCCTGCCAGGAATAAAACCCAAATTCCTTCAACATCCAAACCACAGCTTAGCTGCTACACCAAATGAGCTATCCTGGCTCATGTGAGAACAGAAAACATTTATTTTAGGCTCCTTTAATCATCCTGCTTTTGTGGACAGATGAAGGAAAGGAACAATTCATTTACAGAATACAATTTACATCATTTAATATTTTTTTGCCTTGTGCGAACTAATGAAGCACAAACCCATGAAGAGGTATGGTCAGCGTCACGTCCCGGCCACTTTACCCATGAGGGAGCAAAGAGCCCACAGCACCCATTATATAGGCTGGATGGGCCTCAGAACTGGTCTCGACAACGTGGAGCAGAAAAAAATCTTGTCCTTATCGGGACTCATACTCCAACCATTCGGCCATCTAGCCCATAGACAGTCGCTATACCGACTGTGCTATTAGCTCCCCATACTCATTATACTTTTCCTTCTTCCCCAGCTGTCACGGATTGGGCTCTCTGGCCTGTGCACATTTTGAATTAGTGAACAGAACTATGCAGTCTCTGGACAGTTGGTAGGGCTTGTTAAATGGGAGACCCCATCACAAGGACTCTACCTACACACGGCAATACAATACAGAAATGTATTTTACGACACTCCTTAAATAAATTTGTTTCCTTCATTCTGAAACAATGAAGATGGGGTTTTGCTAATAAGGGAAAAACAAACAAACAAACAAACCATTCAATGGTTGAGAATCCAAAATATAACATGCCTAGATCTTTTGTACGATCTAATTTGAAAGAAATGTGTGAACTGATGTATTATTATGTATCATTAGTGTGTCATCACCATGTCTTGGGCTATTTTCCTATTACTATTTGAACACACTGCATAACTTTCATTGCACTCAGTATGAACAACATGCTGATGGAGGCCGATCCACCTTTGTATATTTTATTTCCTGAAGACTCAGTGGTCTACGAGTACAAAAATGGGACAGAAGTTAAGATCTGAGGTTTCATACTATTCAGATCCATGACAAATATTTCTCACATTACTTTATTTCCAGGAAAACCTAAACTTCATGACTGTGGGGAATACCAGTCTCCCTGCATTAAGAGTCCAATTTAAGCTATGTTTCCGTCAAGTTTATTAAATTATTTTGCAATTCTGTACATGTTTATGGAGCACTAAATGGAATATGAAAGGGTGACTGTGTACAAATTGAGATGCATGTAAGAGCAAATTGTTATGAGTTATTTTAAGACATTATCCTGGCATCTGCCTGGAGCAGCAGAGAAACACTGTACCACGTTCAGTCACAATAACCAGTTGCCTGCTAGAATTCAAACTGGGTACCTCAAGAATTTGAACCAGACATGTTAGCGCTGTGCTACTCTACTTAGTTGTCAAGCTGACCATCACCCCCATCAATCAGTCATTCTCCTTCATCTTTCATGGATTAGGCCCTCTGCTGGTTACAATTCAGAGATAAATCATCCTCTACTGGGAGTCAACAGAAACCTGTTCCAGAAGCCCTTCCACCTTAAACATGGATTCCTTCTCCCTAGCCTGGTTGGCAGTATCCAGAAATGTTGAAGACCACAACTGCAGGTATTAAGAACAAAAGGAATCCTGTTAAATCCTTGAATGCAACACCCATTTCCACTCAATACATGAACCTGAAACTGTGAGGTTCTCACAGTGGTGGTTATGAAGAATACTGCAGCATGTAGAGCCATGTAGTCCACTGAAAGTCAACTGACATTTCAGAGGAACACATCACCTCCATCTTCAAGGCTGAAGAATAAGCCCAGGAAGAGCTCTGTTTGTCACCTTCTTTCACAATGGTATCTCACTCAGATCATTTTTTGACATTGAGGACAGAGGCCATATGTTCTTCTGAAACATCAGCTGATTTCAACAGACTATGCAGCAGTATGTCTCAGAAGACAGTACTTTCTAATGTTTTTTTAAAATCGGCTGTTTTTAAAAAATCTTAAGTAGTAAGGAATATATTATTATCAGAAGGAGGGTGATGAAATTGTTGTAAAAGGCAGAGTGCCCAAGCTTCCTGTCATGACGGGATTAGGGGATGTACAAAGGAGAAGCTCAAAGTTTCTCCTATTGCCAAGCTTCACACCATGGATGGCTTCCAGGTGTTATAAGTCTTCTTTCTTTTTACTTCACGGAAGGTCGTGGGTTCAAGTCCCGATGAGGTCATTGGATTTTTTCAATTGACCTAATCCTTCCAGCCACACTATGGCCCTGGGGTTTACTCAGACTCTAACAGAAATAAGTAGCAGGAATTAATTAAATAATTTTCCTGGGGAGTAAAGTGCAGCCGGCGCATAAGGTTGACAACCTTACCGCCATTTTTGAGCCGATTGTCTAGATAATGTGGGACCCTCAACGTCTCACAACCCTATGGGCCTTTACGGCCTGGTACAAGGATAGCTTTACTTACTTACTTTTTACATATAAAGCGAAGTTCTGTACAATCCATTGAATTGAGACATGAATTCATGGGGTGAGGAACTCACGTCATCCTTAACACTTATAAGAAAAGAAAAGGAACGACGACTAAGATGATTTACATGCTGTAAGCGTCACATCTGTCCACATACATTATAACTTGCGCAACTTGTACATCTGAAATAATGAACAGAGCCTTCTTTTTCAACCAAAACTTCCACCCAAATTTACCACATGCCTGAAAGCCTGCCTTCCCAGTGAGGCTCATGTGGTGGACATCCTAGGAAGGAGAAAGGAGCAGGTGGGTGGAGACTATTACATAAAAACAGAGCTTCATAATTTGTACTCACCACCTATGATTTATTATTGTAATCAAATCATGGGCTGGGAATGTAACATGCAAGGGAGAGATGAGAAATGCATACAAAATTTTATTTGCAAAACCTGAAGACCATTAAGGAGACCTAGGAATAAGTGAGAAGATAAAATTGAGATGGGGTGTGAGGATATGGACTGGTTCAACTGAGATCCTGTGCTTCTCATGGACATAATGATAAACATCATGAATACTATATATTTCAACTTGTTTTAAAACCACTATTCAATGTCTGAAAATTTCCAACCTGACATTCAGTTCAGCCTTAAAAAGTGTGAGTTTGATGCGATGTGTTCTGCAGTCTTCCTTCAACAAATTTTCACTGAAATTTTCTCCATTTAATTTAAAACTTCAATGTGTTGTGCTTTTCCTTTCTTGACTCCTATTTTTTTAATTTTGTATTTAACAGCTTTTCTCATACAAAAAATCTATCAAAGGTTTGTGTCTGAGTGATTAGTGCACCTGTTTCATAGCTCCTAGCATTGGATATGATTCTAAGTCTCAAGACCAGCTACTATGATGTATTTCATTGCTTTCTTCATCCTTCCAAAGTGAGCTAGCAGCTTCTATAAGCCTCATCATCTGTAATTCATTATCATCGTTTGATTTGACACTGCATAATGCACATATCGGTGACAGTGTCGCTAAATATCTTATATCTATAAAGAAGATTGTGTGCCTGCTTCTTCTTTATACATTTCCACACCATTTCACCAATTTCATTCAAATATGGCATGTTGGTACAGAACCTCACAAGGGAGGTTTTACACATTTGAACCCCCCCCCCTTCCCCTCAAAATTTGTTTGCTCTTTGTTCAAAAACCTTTCAGCCCAGCATTTTAAATTCTTGTTTGCATTCAACACAGCTTAGAAAAACAAAAGAACACATCATTTATTCTATAGGTCTTCCCAAAAATAGCCACTTTTATGATTTTTACAAAAGGTAAAGATTTGCACTGTAGTGAATTAATTAATTTCCTTTGAATGTATTACTTATATTAATATTATTAAGATCAACATTATGACTTTTCAATGTAATACACTTCCTAATTATAAGATCAGCTTATAATTCTGATCAACTTCCAACTTTCTTTAATGCCTCCAGTTACCTACCTCCCTGGCCTCCACCTGCCAGCCAAAAGCAGAAAAGTTGTATCGTGAGCTTAGATTTACTCCTGAAAATCATGGCTGACAGAGGGATCCAAGAGCTCAACACAGTCAGTCCTTAGTATGGATCTGGAAGGTAAACCAATTCCTTACCTGTGTTCTACAGAGTTTCTAAAACTTTCAGATCTACTGCAAACATTAGTAATTCTTAATTTATCTGCCAAACAGCAAACTATTTGAGCCAATATACAAGGCAAAAACATGGCAGGAAAAAAAACATTGGAAGAATTCTAATAATTACTCTATAAACATCAACTAAAATAGACACAGGTACAAACACCACACCACATAAGGAATGTTTTAAAAAATTGAATCTAGTGTTAAATATCCTGATACATAACATTATGACAGGAATGGAGAAGGTGTACTTCATAATATAACACATGAAACTACCAACAGTGTTCTCAGAAGTATGTTAAGCACACTTAAAACAGGAATAATGAAATACAAATTAGTAAAAGTCTCCCATATTGATTTCCAACAAAATGTGTGAAACAGTTAATGAAATAAGTGGAAAACTCCATTCATGGCCTTATGTAAATTCAGCTTTACTATTGATTAATATGGTTTAAAATTGGAATTACTGTCAACTTCTGAAGTCTCCCATATAAAATTTCAACAGAACCTAAGATACAGCTTCTGGGGTAAATGGAAAAGTCCATTTGTGGTCTTAAGTAAATCAGTCTTTATTATGATTCAATATGGCTGAAAACTGGAAGCGCCTGTCAAGGTTTAATTAGTCTTATGTACTGAATTTCAACAGTATCTGCCAAATGCTTTATGGGATATCTGAAATTCAATTATGGCCTTACTCCAATGTACACCAGGATTTATTATGGAACAATTTGGGTGAAAATCAGAATTGTCCATAACTTTAAGAGAAAGTCTTCCAACCTGCATTTTAAGAGAACCTCTCAGATGGTTCAAATGCTGATAACAGGTCATGACCCCCACATAAGGCATTCTACCTTTAATTTGTAAAGAGTGCCTAAAAATATTTAAATTTTACTTTCAGGTACATGAAATAACACTAGGCCCACTGTTCTTCTAGACACATAACATGTGATCATGATAAAACAATGGGAAATTGTACTGCAGGAGACTGGTTTGACATGGACAGTGAGCACCTACTTTGATATACTGCTACTGCTCTTATGTGGTGGGTGGGTTGGTCTACTTACAGGAGCTGCAGCTGGTGCTGATATGCTAGACTGTTTATCTGCAGCAAGCTGCGGCGTGCATTCAAGCTGCCAAAAACACAAAAATTAAACCGAAAAATTAAAACATCTTGCTTTGGGTGAAAAAATAAAACAAACACATTCAAAACATAAGAAAGCAGTCAATATGTCCTTCTATTTTAGTTATGGGTGCAATGGTAATGTTTCTATTATGTCATTATTTTTAGTCTTCTTAGTTTTCATAGATTAAGCCCTGTGGCCTGTCCTGATTTAGAATTAACTCTGTAACCATTCAGTAAGATTGGATGGGATATCAGCTTCTCACTACACAACATAAAGAAAAATGATAACATTCATACATGCACTCAGTTGGATTTGAGCAATGACAGACCATATGTCACTCAGCAGAGCCATTCTGTCAGTTACATCGTTATAACTCTCAAATAACACATTCAGAAAAATTACTCAGTCCTGTATAGGATAAATGACAAACTTGGAAGTCAGAAACATTTAGAAAGTATATAATCCACTTCCAGGTCCCTGAAAACCCTTACAGTCCTTGTATCCCACAAACTATAAGTAATTAACTCACTCACTACATCCCTGTGTGGTATAAAAATGACAGGATAAATTAAATTTGGAGCTTTTGACCATGGAGTTACACACTGTTCAAAGCTATTATTTTGGACTTTGTCCATGGCCTTAGCTTATTATAGCCACAACATTTCAGAAACATATTCTATTTCTGTCTTCAGGTAAACAGAATATGAAAGAAAACATACTCTGTTAGACCTCCCAGTAGAGCTATTCTCTGTGGCTGCAGACTAGATCTACCAAGAGACCCATCACAGTAGGGTTCACTTCATACCCTGTTCAAATGGAGTCTGTGTGCATGTGTGTGTGTGTGTGTGTGTGTGTGTGTGTGTGTGTGTGTGGAGGGATGCATCAGCATTTATGGTTATCTGCCCCTGAACAGAAATCAGACTAGATAACCCCAGTTTAATCCAATACAAAATCAAAATGCATTTATGTCAAACTGTAAAATGGTCCAACACCACACAAAAAATAAATATAATCTGCAACAAATAATAAGTTAAATATCTTCATAAAGCAAACTGTGTACGGGCCAGCAAATGACACCCCTAATCATAAAGGAATGCCATAAAGTTAGATACAGTACCAGGGTCATCCTGACTTACACTTATCATAGCTTTTCCCAGACCTTACAGATACAAAGAATTTACAAGGTAACTTCCTTCCCTCACCCCTCCCAATTATGATACAAATCACCCTCTCCCTTATTTGATATTGTACCATGTAGACCCACTGCTAAGGACATGAACATGGGCGCTGAGGAAGATATGGCATCACCAGCCATTACCAGGTGTCAGATTGAGTCATAAAGCCTCAGTCCAGAAATTCTCTACTCTCCAAGCCCTACACTATTAAAAAATGCCAGAACAAGAACAGACAAATGCAGCCACAGGTGGCTTTAGAATGCAGTATAATGGCAAAGAGTCAACGCACAATTCCTGTGCTTACTGTCTCAGTTTCCTTAACCCACATCAAAACATTCACAAACATGGAGTGAGAGACATGTATCAAAAGGAGCTGGTTCTTCAGCAAGTTTCTCTAAGTACTGAGATGCCACAATTCTGGGAATCACAAAAAAAGCAAATCCTTTTAAAATCTGTAATTAGTTTCTTCACTGTAACAGGCATATATACATATATTTATATGAATAAAAGTTATTCTGCATGCCCAAACAAAGAAGTGCCATGCCACATGTATACATGCATCTGTTCTATACAATATGAATTGCCATCACCTAGTCTACGTGACCAGAGCAAGCAAAAGCAACCAGCTGGCACCCATTTTTGTCTCTCATTCTGCTATATGGGCTGACAATATGCAGTTTTAATGGTAAACCTCAGTCAGAAGGTAACCCCTTTCTCTATGTTTAAAATGAGTGAACAGTAAAATTACAAACTACAAGAGTCCCCTTTTAATGTTACTCTATTTAAGGTTTTTCTTCATTTAACATTCAACTTTAATATTATTAAGTCAACAACCTCAGTGCTAAATTTCTTCCATTTAAGACTGTCCTCAATGTAATGTTCAAATCAATGACTGTGCCCCAAAGAAACAACTGTATTTTATGCAAAAAATTTCAATATCCTCCATCAACATTTTTGTTCCAATATATAATAATTTTCAAACAGGTAATTTTAAAAAGGGCTTTTGGGCTAATGTCCTTGAAGCATACCAATACTGCAGTGCCAACCCTTTGCGGAGAGGGGTGAGGAATACATGCGGAGTGACTGTTTCACTGGTACACACAGTCACAAATTCCCCGCCCAGAGACAACAAGAGGCTCATCTGTTTTTCCTTATTGCTCATGCTTGCTAAGTCATATGTTGGTGTTTGCTTTACCTAGACTTGGCAATGGCTCTCTTCAGGTCCTTCTGTAGCTGCTGTACACGCATCTCAGAACGGTGGTAAGACTGCGAGGTGCGGCGATGTTCCAGTTCACTCAGTGTTCGCTCTCGCTCTGATTCATTAACCTGACAGAATAAATAATCCAACAAATCTTCTAGATTCCTTCACACAAATACAACTTACCCTAATTAATGCCTTGTGACTGCAGTACTGTGTACTCTTCGCGAACTGCATCTATTCTCATTGTTTTGGAGGAAGGCTTATTTGTAGTTCATTCAATGACTTTGTCAGTAACTCAGACCATATAATGTTGAATGACTGGATGACAGTGAATAATGAATTAGAAAAGATGTGAAAGACGGCAGTCATGGACTAATTTAAGATGATATCTCACCATTACCCAGAGAGGATGAAAATTAATATTATAAACCTCAGTCATAACAGTTGGTGTCCCAGCCTAGGTTCAAATTGAGCACCTCCCATATACAAGTAAAAGCATCATCATTTGAGCTAACCTGCTCATTTCTGAGGGAAGTGTATTCCGATTTGCTTACTGTTTGTTCTTTATAAGTAGCAAGAAGACTGGGACTAGGAACTGTAAAGACCACAATACATGTGTGGCAGCCACTGTTCTGCTCAGGCCAGAGAGAAGAAATCATTCTGATATGCCTCAAAATATGATACATCTGCTGCCAGTGCCACCTAGTGGTCAGGGCCTAATTTGTTACTATCCTAGCATTTATATTGAGGGACTGAGGAAAATGATGAAAAACCTCAGTCAGGATTGCCAGTGTCCTGGCTGAGATACTCGTACAAACCAGTCACTTCCTGAACACAAATCAGGAGAATTGCTTGGTGGAATTAATAAATGTTGGGTGATACTTGAATTATCCATTCTAGGTTATACAGTGTCAAACAGTAAGACAATTGTGAATGATACATTAGAAAGTACATAGAATAAAGAAGTTACGTCTTATTCAAGGGTACTACCGCAGAATTTATCTGGAGGGAATGAAGAAAACTACAAAAATTTGCAGTCAAAATAATCATTCTTTATTGTTTGCATCCTGTTGTGTATTACTATATAATATAATAAAATACTATAATATAAAGGAGAAAGAACACGGAACATACACCACTTACATACAGAAAACTGCCATATAAAATGTAAGTAAATGTTTACATCACATCATATGACTATACATCACTCAAAACCGAACAATATTAGAACATTTACAATTTAGTTCTGGGTACATATAATAATTAAAAAAATGACGTAGCCTCCCAGTATACATCATAGGCCGCCCCCCCCCCCCCACCCAGAAAAAAAAATTCAATTTTAACTTTTAACTTCTGAGTTATAACATTTTACATTCTCTGACTAATATTCGAATGTAATGAAACACAAGAATTGTAATGAAATTTATATTTACGACCACTAATATGAATCCACATTAGAAATACAATTCAATAAGAGTAGTACATTTCATGACTGGGGTATGCTGTAGTGTAGTTGGTTGAGGCACTATGCTACAAGCCGGAAGGTCGCGGGATCAAATTCTGATGAGGTCATTGGATTTTTTCAATTGACCTAATCCTTCCAGCCACACTATAGCCCTGGGGTTGACTCAGCTTCTAACAGAAATGAGTACCAGGAATATTCCTGGGGGTAAAGGGCGCCCGCATGTAGGGCTGACAACCTCACTGCCATCTGTGAGCCGATTGTCTAGAAAATGTGACAGCCTCAACTTCTAACAACCCTATGGGCCTCCATGGCCTGTTACAGGGATACCTTTACTTTTTACATTTCATGATTATTGCCTGATGATGCACCAGTGGGATCGAAACATGTAGTAAATATATATGATAAACAAATGTTAATACAGTAATACTCATACTGGTTTATTTATTATGAATTTACTGTGTTGATGATTGTATAATAATATTATAAAATAATTGGTCTTTGGCCCAAGAGTTGATCCTGAGACCTACTAATATGAAATAAGTGTGTTAACCACTGTGATGTTTGGTAAACTGAATTAACACGAATGCATCCTACACATGTCATACTTATACAATACAACTGTGACATATCAAGTCTTATCAGAACCTATCAAAGGACTCTAAAGACATGAGATCAATTATGCCTGGAGTCCTTACAATGAATTACAGTGAACGATATTTATGCGTGGCAATATCTGCATCATCATCATCAGTAATCTGTCAAGACGACAGGTCCACAGTCTCTTTCAAAACAATTCCTCCACTTAATGCGATCTAGAGCTTTCTCCTTCAAATGACAGTATCCTCTTCTGTCCCCAAGGTCATCCAGCATCTTCTTACGTCTTCTTCCTCGTCTTCTTGTCACTTCTATCCGCCCATCTATCTTTCCTTCGATAGCTTCTTTTAGAAGGCAGTTTCTGCGTAAAACATGACCAATCCAATTAGCCTTCCGTTTTCTTATTTCATGTAGGATATTCCTCTGCTCACTGACTCTAATTAGCACTTCTTCATTTCTCACATAATCGGTCCAACTGATCTTCTCCATTCTTCTCCAACACCACATTTCGAAACTTTCCAGATGTTTCTGATCTACTGCCCTAAGTGTCCATGTTTCAGCCCCATACAGAGCTATGCTCCAAATGTAGCATTTCACTAGTTTCTTCCTCAAATTTAAGTCCAATTTGCTGGTAAAAAGATTCTTCTTCTTGCTAAATGCAGCTTTTGCCATGGCAATCCTGGATTTAATTTCACAAGTACACCTTCCATCATCTGTTAACAAGCTACCCAAATATTTAAAACATTTCACATTCTCCACTTGTTTTTGGTCTATCTTTATTGTGACTGGGGTTGGTTGTCTCGAAATTTTCATTACTTTTGTTTTCTCCACATTCATTTCCATGCCATAGCACCTTCCAATTTCAATTAGTCTATCAATCATGCCCTGTAGCACAGTTTCTTCCTTAGCCATTAACACAAGGTCATCTGCATATTTCACAGTTTGAATAATTTGCCCTCCTACTTTGAAGTCACCGAGCCCATCCAGAGCTTCCTTGGTAAGGCATTCGCTGTACAAGTTGAACAGAATTGGTGATAAACAGCATCCTTGTCGAACTCCTCTTCCAATCTGCACACTTCCTGTCTCCCCCCTGTCCAGTCGTACTCTAACTTTCTGATCCATGTACAATTTGCTAATCAATCTTCTTTCATGCCAATCGATACCTGTTTCTTTCAGGATCTGCATTAATTTGGTCCAGTTTACCCGGTCAAATGCCTTCTGCCAGTCTATGAAGCAAACACACAGTTCTTCATCTATCTCCAAAGTTCGTTCCGCTATAATTCTCATCATCCCAATTGCATCCCTGGTTCCTTTTCCTCTTCTAAATCCAAACTGATCTTCTCCAAGTACATCCTCTATTTTCCTTTCAATTCTTCTTTTAAGTATCTTTGCTATTATCTTTGCTGTATGTGCAATAAGACTTATTGTGCGATGGTCGCTGCATTTTGTAGCTTTTGTCTTTTTCTTTAAGGCAATCATTGTAACTTCTGTAAAGTCCTTGGGCCACTCTCCACTTTCATATATGGTGTTCATTAGTTTTGTCAGTGTTTTCAAACCACCTTCTCCCAGTAACTTGAGCACATCTCCAGGTACATCATCATCTCCTGTAGCCTTTCCCTTCCTCATTTCCTTGATAGCTTTTTCCACCTCACTTTGTAAAATATATGGTCCTTTCTCGTCTGTATCTACTTCTTCTTCCGGTTCAACTTCTAAGGTTTCTGGCCGATTAGGTCGATCATATAGTTCTGAAATATAATTTTCCCAAATTTTCAGCACTTGCCTCTGATCTACTATTCTATTCCCCTGGGAGTCTTCGATAACAACATTTTGAATCCCGTGATTCTCTTTCCATCTGCATAACGTAATATAATAAAAATTCTATCTATTAAATACAGTAAGCATCTGCCAAATAACTAAATACATAAACATTTAATTTGGCCCTAACATGTATGACCTCTATATTGAATTAAACTGAAAGTTACATATCATCATCTAAGTATCAGAGTTTACAATATCCATCAGCACCCAATTTTCAGGAAACTGGATTTGAAGTTTGAAAATCTGTTGCAATTTAAATGTAACTTAGACAAAAAAAAAAAAAACAACATTCTGAAATCTCACACTTGCAAGTAGATAAACCTATGGAAGTATATGGAGACAGTGCAACAGAATATGGACAATCATCTTATTTTGCTTGTGGAGACAGAACACTCCAATTCTTGAGCAATGATATGATAGTAACCATAGAGTAGAAATATTTAAATTTTCAAAAAATCTGTCCATGACTCAAAAGATACATGTAAACATTCATTTATACCCCTTACTATATTTGCCATAAAATAAGACACACTAAATGAACATGAAAGAGGACTGACACAAAATACAATGCATGTCCACTGTACTGAGTTTGTGCAAGATCAGTGAGGTAGTTTGGCATTGCTGCTTATACACACATACACATGAAATTATTAGGTAATATTCAAATTTATTACACACCTTCAGCTTCTTAGATTTACGCAAGTCTACTGTTTTGAAGTTTCATAGGTGCTATCAGAAAGTTTCTGGGCTAGGCCAAATAAGAAACTTGCTCAATTTTGGCTGCCATCTCTTTCAAAAATAAAGAGGTGCACCATCCTGTTGAAGAATAAGACTGCTGCTCCTGTTGAGCTGTGAAAGCAGGTTTTACCAACGTGTCTAGGAAAGAATTTCTTGTAATTATGTCCTCATCAAACAAAAACAGGCAATGCCTCTTCCATGTGTCACTGCACAGCAGATGCTCACTTGGGGACTATTCTATTTTCAAGGTCTAAATGTTCTCTGAAAGGCTCACTGTCCCATATGACAGTTTTGCCAACTGACACTTCCAGAGACATGAAATTTTGCCTCATCAGTGAAGACAATATGATTTAAGAAATTATCACTTTGTGAGTATACGTGTGCCACAAACTGTAATGTAAGCTATTTATCATGTGCTGTAACTTTCTGGACTACCTACAATTTGCATGGTTTTAGACAATAGGCTCCTGCAAAGAATTCTGTGGACAGCTGTATGCAGCATCTGTAACTCTGCATTTGCTCAGAAGATTGACTTCTTCGGACTCAATGTGAACGCATGCCTAACACAATCCACATCTTCATCACCCTTCACTGGCTGCCCAGTAGAATAGTTTTTTCTATATTTCCAATCTCTCTAAACTGCTCATACCATCTCTAATGCTCCTGGCAATAGGTGGTCTCAAACCATACTCACGCCTAAATTCACACTAAACTCAAATAATGGATTCAAATTTTGTTTATCACAACATGGTTTGTGCTTTCTGCTGTATGGCAGACATTGTACTGATCACACAGAACATATAATCAAAGCTGCTGTCCATTAATTACAGTTGGGATGCATGAACAATTTGTGTCAGTAAAACTGTTTATTTCATATTTTATGATTATACCGGCAGTACCAACATCATACCTGTTCTTGTTCCTAAGTTGCAGGTGTTTAAAATAATGGCATTGTACTTGGCGGACCCTGCATTTTAAACATACAAGGGGAACCAAAAGTGCCATACCAGAGATCTGATTAACACATGGGACTTATCCTCTGCAAGGTTGCCTACTCAAGGTATGACATACCCTCAAATAAGTTTCAGCCTGATAATAATGGCCCTGTGAAAATCATGGGTTTGCCACAAGCCAAGCAAACAAATAACCCTGTAGATTCCTCTCTTTTTCAAGACATAAAATGCCTGTCTCTTGCAATCAAAATATTGAAACAAGGTACATTAACTGAAGTACTTACCCTCATGGTGGCATGATTAAGCATTTCCTGCCATGCATGGTCAAATGTTCGCCCTTCTGTACTGAGTCCCTCCTCTGCCAAGTACACCATCTCCTTTGCTGCTGCATGTGCAGAATTTGCACGCTCAAACCTCACTGCAGCTTGCTGAGTCTCTTGCAGGGCCTGCCGCATTATGAAATTGTTCACACAGGACACACATGTTCACGTATAATTAACATTATGTTTAATTCAGTGTGACAGATTTGAATAACAGGAATACTAATATACGCTGGTCACCAATTTCTCACAAAATTTTTAACTCTTTTAGTGACTATCAGTGCCAGTGTGCATGTGTTACATAGTAAATTCTTCCTCTGAGGTATGTCTGCATGATCAAGCAACGTGCATGTGCAAGCAGGTTCTTTCTATCCTAAAGTCCTCATCTCTGTCTCTACTGATCCCAGCCAAAGCTACCCACCATCCTGTGTGACCTTACCCAAAGGACTGTACAAACCTTTAGCCATCAGACCAATGTCTACTGGGGCCCAACCATCCTTCTACCTTCCCACCCTGTCACTATGACAACAGAGAAAAAAGAGCAGGGAAAAGAAATAAGGACGGTACCCCAGACAGATGAATCATCAGCATCATCATCCAAGGAAGGCAGCAGTTACAACTAACATCTACAGATCACAGCGGTAGTGAAACAAGAAGTAAGTCCAGTAGAAAGCGACTACACCCCTTACATTTCAAATAATGGGGAATTTACTGCAATGCAATTGGAACAGACTAGAAGCCATTATTATTCATCACCTATATGATCAAAATAATAGAGAAAGGGAGATCAACTGGACACAGAAACATCTCAACTACCAAAAACTATGCTACTTGCAGAAATCTGGTTCTTCTGAAAATGATATAGAATAATCAGTACATCATCCAAATACTGCAGCTGCATATTTAACACAAGAGTTGTTCAAATGAAACCCATTTGTTGGTTTTCCTGTGAATACTACTGGTGGATGGTTGCAGGTGATCATGTGGCTGTGTATATGACACACCAACAGTTGAGCAGCTGTGCAGGAACAGCATGACAGGTTTAAATACAGCATTCCAAGTGCAGAATCTATCCAAACAGAACCAATGACCTGTCATTCATTTACTTGGTGTCAAGGGCGGTAAACCAGCTGAAATTCATGGAAGAATGCAGGCTGTGTATGGAAATGCCCGTGTCTCAAAGAAAAAAATGCTGCAGTGGCACTGGAAGTTGCATTCGGAAAGGCAGGCATGACACATGTCTTCATACCACATAAATGTTGCAAAAGTGGAGAAAGCTGTTCATGCAAACAGATGTCAGAGCATTTGTTCAATATCCACACAATCTGATCATCATTGGTACAGGGCACACCATCCTGTGATGCCTCTGCATGCTCAATGAGTCTACAGATGATGAGAAGCCGCACATATTGTCCTACTGCTGGAGCACTTGCATTGCTACCTGGCAGAGGGCTATGCATATTTGTGACGAGTTTTACTGGGCGATCAGACATAGTGCCACCACCTTTGGCCAAAAGAAAAAGCTGTAAGCATGCAATGCATGAAATTCAAGTCCAAACATCTCCTTGAAAGGTCATGCTGACCATTTCCTTCAAGTTCAATGGACCACTGATACTGGCATTCAAGGACCCTGATATTACATCGACACATAGCATTACTTTGGAACCATCCATGACCCTCATACCACCAAGAGAAGAAGATAATTTGGCATGCTCATGAAGGGTATCATCATACTGCATGATGCCAGTGCCCACGTGGTAAACACTGTCCAGAACATGCTGCACTCCATGCATTTGAAGATGCCTGATTATCTCTCATGTAGCTCAGACTTATCATGATGAGAATTTGATGCATCTGGCCATCTCAAAAAAGTGCTAAAGGGTCACAAAGTCAGGTTAGATGAAGACATCAGAGCCACATTGGTGCAGTGGTAGCAGCTCAGAAAGTTCTTTGCAGAGGGGATCCATCAGCTGGTGGGTCAACAGGATGCCTGCCTCAGTGCCCATGGGATCTATTTTTTAGTGAACTATGCTCCCTTCCCCAGAACAGTCCCCAAGTTTGTTTAATCTGAATAATGCTCATATATTCCTATTTATTTTCTGGTACTACTAAAATGGCTAATGGCTTTAGGCCACAGTTGTTCATATTATTCTGTTAATTCGCTTAGTGGGGGGTGGAGTCCAACTGTGTCCACTTGGCACAGTGGCCACTTATTGGCCTATTGTACCTGCCCTGGGTGATTATGATGATGAAGAATTTGGTGGAATAAAGATTGGCAGGGGAAACCGAAGTACTCGGAGAAAACCCGCCCCGGCACCACTTTGTCCACCATAAATCCCACTTTACCAGACCCGGGAAAGAACCCGGGCTGCCACATTGGGCAGCCAATGGCCAACCGCTTGAGCTATGGTGCAGCCTATATTATTCTGTTAGTGAACACACATTTAACAGGGGAAACAGGAGGCAGACTAAAAGCTGACTCAAATATTCAAATATGTCTTGCACACATGGAGATGCGAAATGAAGAAGCAGAATATATTGCCGTCAAATTCCTCTAGTCAAGCTTAACACATCAACACATCATTTATTGTCAAATACAGCAAGGCACCTAAATATTCTTATAATAACCCAACCTGATGGGTCAGAACTGCTGGGTGAGGCTGCAACAGTCACTACAATGCATTGGCTGTGTTACCACTGTATCAAACCATGTCTCAGTTTGCCATGTAGTGAGAGAAGAAGCAGATATTAGAAGCTTAAAATAAGTGGCGAATGTTTTTAGCTCACAGTGACCCACTTGATCTACAGTTGATATTCACACTCCCCATGTCGTCACCCACACCACATGATATGCTGAGTACAAAATACACTTGTTGCCAGTAGCTATGCACACTTGCCAAGAGGAAGCTTACTTTCCCATTTGTGCTTCTGGCTGAAGTATGCTTTCAAGTCTCTTAATCAAATATCATTCTGCAATGACATGGCTGGCACTGGGTGAGCACACACTATACTGCACTGCTACTGACTCACCTAACATTGTGTTCCTCATTACCTCTTTGGCCTTCATGCGGGCCTCATAGTAAGGTCGCGCCCTATCCACACAGGCTCCAAGTTTCTTGGCTAGGCTGTCAATACGAACTGTTGACTCACACAGGAGTTGACGGAATGTAGCTCTTGCTTCCTGGTGGCAAAATTGTAAGTATCTCATAAGAAAGTTGGTAATGTCTATGTAAGAAATTAACTTCTCTCATCTATATGATGGCAGTAAAGGTAAAGTTATCCCTGAGCTTAATTAAACATAATGCCATGATAGGTGCCAAATTTATGCTATTAGGGTCATGCAAAAGAATCATTCAATAAATCCTTAGCACCCAGAGTATTTCATTTATAATGTAACATCATTTAGTTTACAAATATTACCATTAGGATTGTCAATCAATTGAACAGTGCCATTAATCAGTAAATTAAATTATTAATTTGTTAAAAATAATTCTATCATAACAATGATAACTCTTATTACTATAAGCGTAGGAGACAAATCATTTGCAGTATTAATGTACTCAATATGTCTAAACTTACTGATCTAAAATTCAATGAATCACATTTGAGTTTGCAACCTAAAGCCACTAACTTTACAAGTATCAATGTGTTAGTTATTCCAATGTTCCAAAAAAGAAATACTAAATCTAATACAATGGCATAATACAGAATATTTCAAGGGGATGTGAACAGTCTCAAATGTTTACATCAATATATTTAATTTAGAAGCCTTAACCAATCGAATGTTGTAGGTCTTGGACAAATACAAAACTTCCTGCAAAGGGAACAGTTCCCTTTTTGTCACAGACTGGCACTGGATGTGTCAAGGAAGGGTGTTGTGCTGTTTCCAGTGCAACTTTACAAAACCTACGGCAACATTTACCTAGGAGATTGAGGAAAGCCACAAAACTGCTCAGTCAGGACAGCTGGTTTCTTAGCCAAATGGGGCCAAATGAGTAAGAAATGCCACAAACTCCATTGTGGCATTCAGTATTTTCAATTAAGCCTGTACATTACCTGTGTTTCCATTCTAGTTGCATGTCTCAAGTCTTCAGACAAATGCAACAATATGACAAGCTACTATTACATTTTTATTTAATATATTTAAATTCATGTGAAGTGAGTGCAACTTGCAAGTCTAATAATGCAAGAAGGTAGCATAATGTTGCATTAATAAGAAACTCCAACATGCTGTAAAATAACAGCAAACATTCACAATTATATATATTATTTCTGTTTTGACTTTGTCAAAACTATAAAAATACAGTAAATTCCTCCTAGTTTATCTACGTTCCAAGCAAGTTCATGTAGCCGTAATGCTCTAGTTGCATATTTGGGAGATGCTCAGTTCAAAAGTCAGAAGGTACACTAAGTATCCTCAGGTTTATTGAACTCTTCTCAGTCCCTTTAGGCAAATGCCAGGACAGTATATTGCTTAAGCAAAAAAACACTCCCTTCCAATTCATTAGTTGCCAACCATCCTACCATCCTACCATTCAACACCCTGCAGTCTTAGATACAGATAGAAACAAATAAACCCTCTGTGGTCTAGTGGACAGAGATCCTGTCTACAGATCCAGAGGTCCTGGGTTTGATTCCTGGCACTACCATATTTTCTGAGAAGTAATGGGTCTGGAACAGGGTCCACTCAGCCTCATGAGGATAACTGAGGAGCTATTTCAAGGAAATAGTGGCTCCAGTCTAGAAATCCAAGATTAACGGTCATGGAGATCTGTTGCACTGACCATGTGACACCCTCTATCTGCTTAAGTTGGCACTAACTTCGCCGACAAGCGGAGGTCGCTCAGTCGGTATAGTTCACTTGCAGACTACAGGCCACGGAGTTTTATTCCTACTACTGGTCAACACTTAATTACAACAGATCTCAAATTAGTCAGCAAAGTGGTTAGTACATTTTGTTTTTTAGAGATCCCCCATTCATGAATTAGGCACAGGTTTTTTTTGTACATAAGAGAATCATCTCAGCAGTTAAGAGGGTAGAGTCTGTTAGTGATAGGATTTCATACATAATGCTATGAGGTCGCTGGTGTGATATCATCATTCTGAATGTTCATGCCCCAACGGAAGATAAAGTTTATGATATGAAGGGCAGGTTCTATGAAGAACTAGAACATGTATTTGATAAATTCCCTAAATACCACATGAAAATTTTGATAGGAGATTTCAATGCCAAAGTAGGTAGGGAAGACATTTTCAGACCAACAATTGGGAATGAGAGTTTCAACGAAATTACGTAGTAATGCTAATGAAGTCAGAGTAGTAAACTTTGCCACATCCAAAAATCTTATTGTCATAAGTACAATGTTCCAACATCATAACATTCATAAATTTACTTGTACATCTCCTGATGAAAAGAGACACAACCAAACTGACCACATTTTGGTAGAAAGGAGACGGCATTAGAGTATACCTGATGTCGGATCATTTAGGGCAGCAGATTGTGATACTGACACATACATATCTGTTGGTGGCAAAAGTTAAGGAGATACTAGCAGTGAGTAAGCAAACAATGCACAGACTTCATATGGAGATGTTCAATCTCAAGAAATTAAACAAGGTAGAAGGTAAAGAGTAGTAGCATGTTGAAATCTTAAATAGGTTTGCAGCTTTGGAAAACTTAGACACTAAGATGGATATTACTAGAACTTCTAAAACTATTAGAGTGAATACCAAAATTTCAGCCAAAGAGACTCTAGGTTATGAACTCAACAAGCATAAGCCATGGCTCAATGAAGGATGCTCAAAATTATTGTATCAAAGGAAACAAGCCAAACTGCAGTGGTTACAGAATCCAATCAAAATAAATGGGGCTAATTTGAACAATATAAGACATCCAGAAATCAGGCTTTTCAGGAATAAAAAGTGGGCATATCTGAGAGACAAAATTAAAGAGAAAAATTTACATAGGTATTCCATCACCTTGTTGTGGTTGTTACTCTTGTAACACTTATTAAATTGGTTCATATATATTGCCAAACAATGCTTTAGCAATGATTTAATGGCATGACAAGGTCTCAATATCTGGTAGGTAAATGTAGAACTGTCCCTGTGCTTAAACAATGACCTTGCCATGAGGGATGGAGGCATGACTTTACACATGCAAAACCTCAGCACTGTATGGAAATGAGTGGTCAACTTCATGGCCCAGTTTCTTTAACCCTGCGGGAATATACCCCAGCACCCAATAGACAGAAGGCAGGGTGGGGTCCAGAACTGGTCTAGGCGCTCTTTGTTACACACATTTAATTCAATACCCCTGCTATGAAACACCACGACCACAACACAAATAAAATATATATTTCTAAATACTTATTCATAAAACTTCTTTGTAAACATGAATGATTTAATATTATCATAAATGGCCTACGTTTGGTCCCTACTTACATCTAAATCTACTTCAAGTTTATTAATATCGTCGGTAGCAGTGTTCAGGCGTTCCAGTTCAACCTGTAACAAATTGCAGGATAAAATTAATTCAACTGATGAACCACCTTCAAACTAAGAGAAAATATAAGTTCATTATTTTGAAATATCATGAACATTCATTATTATTACATACTGGTACTGGTGATTCTAAAATTAAACTATTCTCATTACTGATGGCATCTGACTTTAATGTTACTATCTCGTAAATACAGCAGCATTAGTTCAGATCAAATTGAAGTGGAAACGTGACCTGCACCCGTGGATCCACTTCATCAGTACATTTATCTATGTCCGAAACATCGGAAGAAACACTAGATTGGGTTTTAGTTGTCATTGTGGAACATTAACAATATTTCCAACCATTTAAGCTATTTTCACGTTGCCTGCAACATTTGTGGAAGCCATGTTCACACAGAACTACGGCGTTCTGAAGGCTTCTGCAATGTGAATTGATTGCAAGTTTGTGTCTCGGAATTGGTGGGCTGCGTATCTTCATAATGGTGTTATTTATTTATATATTGATAGAATTGTGCAGATTTATGTTAATTTGAAGAAGAAAATTAGGGAACATTTGTTTGTTTCAAAAGCGCAACTCTGTGTGAATTAAGTTCCTATAAAAGGTAAAGTTGTCCTCATAATTAACTAATTAAGCACTACATCATGAAGACCTTTTGGGGTAGTGGATGTATAGATCCACGTATTCTTGATTTCTTGATCTCGACACTAGTTTGAGGTGAGTGGTCAGCTTCACTCCCCGGCCGTTTTAACCCCCGAAAAAGTCCCCGGTACCCACCGGATAGGAGGTTGGGTAGGCCTCAGAACGGATATCGACAACTAGGAGAGGAAAAAGTCTTGTCCTTACTGGGACTCGAACTCCGACCCCTCGACCGTCCAGCCCATAGATAGTCGCTATCCCTGCTCCTAGTCAGTTCCTACGCAAGAACCCATTTGTTTAGAGCATATTTTGTCTGTAGTTGTTTTTATCTTTGATTCGAGATTGAAAATTATAAGATTTTGTACATGTCATTTTCATTGGTTGCATCCTGTTGTGTATCTCAGACAATATATAATATGTTGGACCTATGTTACCGTCAGCACAACAAATTTTTCAGTATTACATTTAGATCTTTATTTACTGCGACATGTTTCGGTCATAGTTGTTAATACCTTTTATATACTTCTAACATACCTTCAATATATTTTAATAATATTTCAAAAAATTTTTATATAGTACACCTTTACTCTGTTTTTTAATCTTGATCATGTATTTGCTATTTTAACTATACACTAATCTGAGGCAAAGTTTTTATGTTAATTTTTCATACGGCGCGTTGCACCGATAAGGTTCCGTATCGGCATTTCAACAACTATACGTATTCCTGCCTGATGATGGTCGTGTATGACCGAAACATTTGACTGTATATAAAGATCTAAATGTAATACTGAAATATTTGTTGTGTTGACGGTAGCATAGTTCCTACATATTATATACTGTAAGATTTGAGGTTTTCACGGCGGTGACTATGAAGAAAGCAGTTTTCTGGGATGTGGCACCGTGTATATGTGGTGTTAACCGACGGTTCTCACGGTCTCTTCGCTTGCGGATTTCTTATATTTTTCTTTCTACCCTGAAGATGGAGGCGATACGTTCTTCCGAAACGTCGGTTAACACCACATATACACGGTGCCACATCCCAGAAAACTGCTTTCTTCATATTATATATTGTTTGTACATGTCCCTTAGCAAAGCCTTAGGTGCCTTAGTTATATTGCGAATTTACCGTAATGTAGGAAATTACGAAGACCTTGTACTTCGCCAGAAGAGAACCTTCCTATCACTATCCTTTACCGTTTGTAGTGGGTCATGTTGTGCTAGTGCTGTCATCTATCGGAAAGTTATGCCGGAAGCAAGTACCACAGGAAATGATCAACAGATCGGTGAAGAAAAGTACGTGTAAATCGGTGATTTAGATACAGAAGTGCACATAAGTCTTACTATCGGTTACCGTCACGGATCATCAAATGCTTGCTACAGACACGAGATGTGTTGCTCAGTATGTTATTGGACAATAACATACTGTACTTAAATTATAATTGACTTTACATAATGCGTTAACAAAACTGTGGTGTGCATGCAAAGGATTTTAACGATCTCTGCACAGATGTAAAAAAGTGCGAAGTGGTTTTCGGTACGTCATTCCAAGCAGTCTATGAAAATATTAATTATATGAGTTTTCTAAAATATTTATATTATTATTATTGGCATTAAATATATTTCCAATATAAATTAAGTTAGTGTTAAGAATTATTGACACATTACCGATTATAATGAAAATGTTTGTGGGATGTACAGTATAATCAGTAATCTAGGCCGAGTAGTAATTGGCTGCAGTTTGTGGATTGTGGATAGATGGCAGTGCTGTCCTGCAGTTCAGTAAAAGGCAGAAGTGTGCTGCGGAGTGGACCGGGTTTGGGAGCGACTGAGACCGATTGAGACTCAGTGCCGCAGGAGGCGAGACTTGGGTAGTGCGAGTGTGACGTTCAAGTGTTGACAGGTGCGCCTGGGTCTCCGTTATTTTGCTGGTAGGCACAGTTTGTGTATACTATTCTAGTCATGAAGTGCTTTATGAATAGCTAATGTGAATTGATATGGGCATTAGTGACCTTACGTAGAAATTAAGGTAGTTTTACTTCTGATCATATCGTTTTCTCGTGAAATCCACTTTCAAAGATTGTGTCTGAGAGGTTTTGTTGGCCTGAACAGCTGAATGGAATATGGGACAACAGACCTGTTGTCATTTCTTTGCATATGTTGCTGTTATTATTATCATCATCACAATCACCATCACCATCATCGATGTTACTGTATACCATGTATAAATGATACGCGACGAATATGTCTCCATACGCTGAAAAACAAATCAGTCGCAATCATTGTTATAAAGGTTGAAACTGTGACGCATGTTTTGGGATTATATACTGTATGTTGTGGTAGGGTACGTATTAGGCAACAGTTTGCCCATTATTGTGCCTTGAGTTCGGTCGAGAAACTTTTTTGTAATAAAAGTCAAAATGCAGGTAAGTCGAGTGGCGAGGCCCCTTTCTATTTCGTTGTCTTTGTATGTCTCTAACAAAATCTGGTGTTGCATTGTGTAGCAGGTCAGAACGACTCGGCCGATTTATGTACAGTTAAGTCGGTACAAATGTTAGACATGTTTATATTATTAATGATTTGGTCAGGTCTTGTATATGAACCCCGAGCAGTCGAACGTCAGCAGTCTAGTGAATGGAGCTCATGCTGCGTATTTGGGAGGATCCAGCTTCGAACCTCGGTCCAGAGGTCAGCCATTCGTTGTTTAATTCTCCCTGCAGGCAAATGCTGGTGGGATAGTACCTCAAATTACGTGCGGGCCCCATCCTACATGGTCGTTTCCGTTTGTTTACTCATTCAACCGCACCACGACATGTAGTCTGAGCGACAGGCATCATAATGAATCATAAACAGGTAAACAAAAAATCCAGTAATTGCTTGTTACCAGGCTCCTGTCCTTTTGAAGTGGTATAATATTTTATTTGCCCCATTTATCGACCCAAGTGAACTGTTCTGCTGCAGTCCTGTGGCAAGGACACATCCGGGTGCATAATACCATCACGCGGTTTGTGTAGGGCAGCCTTTGTAGGAGGAGTTTCGCTGCGCTTTTTAGTTCCACGTGATTTCTAAACGGTATGGCAATGGCAGAAACTTTGATTACGTTGCATAACGATACAGGCACAGCACTTGCGAGTACAGACTATATGGCGTGATTGATTAGTATCATCTTCTAGAATGTTATGCCGTGTAATCTGATACAAGTTTACAGACGTTTCGAAGGACTTACTACATCCATCTTCAGGACCGAATAATAAGGCAAATAAGTATCAAGCAGTTGACAGGGCAAAAGCGGTTTAGTCATAATTTTGTTATTTAGTGTAAACTTGCATAGAGGGCTTATAGCAGTTTCCCCAAAACCGTTAAATCTGAGGTTCCCTTGATGGAAAATAGCAAGTTTGATCCCCCCCATACATTGTACACTTAATTTAATTAATTCGTCAAAATTTCGATCGGAGTATTGTAGGATTAAAATTAAATCATCCTGTTTATCGACCCATTTTTCGACGGACTCCGGAAGCAGCTTCGGGGGCCCGGGGGGGGGGGCAACTCCAAATTTTGGAAACTGTGCGCTAGAAAAGTGTCTGCCTACTGAGGCCTATGGCATCAGGAAAGAGTTATGATACAGGAAGTTAAACCACCGTTATTTTGACTATGGTTACTGGCGCTATACCTTCATGAACGTGGTGCCTCCTCGGTACTGCATACGCTTGTGTTGGGTAGGCTCTATCCCAGCAATGGAATGAAGTTCATCAGGCGCCCTCAACGCTGCTTGTGTGTACTGCACTGCACTTCTACGAACAGTTCTCTTTTCGTATACATGCAATATTACAAGCTCCCATCCTAGTGACAGCACTGGCCTGATCTCCCTTCACGAAAGCAGCTATACGATCACATACAATACTATAGGTGGGATTAGTTGCCGTTTATCAGGCGACAGCGACGGAGTAGACCTCCTTCCGAACGTAGGCCACATGTCCCTGTCCCGACGCAGGACATCCCAAGAAGAGCCCCATCATGTTGAAGCAGCAAATATAATCATGATGAGATCTTAGGTATTCGCGGCGGTGGAAATTTCTTGAGGTACAATCAAATGTAAGCGAGCGAGACTCTACGAAAGCGAATAGTAAGGTTATTAATCATCGCCAGGAACTTCGAAAACGCTTCTTGCGACCAGGTAGACACTGAAGATGACCATTTAAAGATTGAAACCTGCATGGCTAAATATGGAAGTAAATATGACCATTTGCTTCCATATTTAGCCATGCAGCGTTCAAGTATACTTGATGTCCGATCATTCAGGGCAGCAGATTGTGATACTGACCACTACCTGGTGGTGGCAAAGGTTAGGGAAAGACTGGCTGCGAGTAAACAAACAACGCACAGAGTTCATATGGAGAGGTTCAATCTCAAGAAATTAAACGAGGTAGAGGGTAAAGATCAGTATCATGTTGAAATCTCAAATAGGTTCGCTGCTTTCGAAAACTTAGACACTAAGGTGGATGTTAATAAAGCTTGGGAAACTTTTACAGAGAATATAAACATGTCTGCCAAAGAGAGTCTAGGTTATTATGAACCGAAGAAGCATAAGCCATGGTTCAATGAAGGATGCTCAGAATTATTAGACCAAAGAAAACAAGCCGAATTGCAGTGATTACAGGATCCAAGCAAAATAAATGGAGATAATCTGAACAGAATAAGACGCGAAACCAGCAGGCGTTTCAGGAAGAGAAAGAGGGAATATCTGAAGCACAGAAGTGATG